GAAGAGAAGAGAAGAGAAGAGAAGAGAAGAGAAGAGAAGAGAAGAGAAGAGAAGAGAAGAGAAGAGAAGAGAAGAGAAGAGAAGAGGAAAATAAAAATAAATCTGAACTCCAGAAATCATTACAATTTCTTTGGTCTTCTTTTATAGGACAAAGCCATATAGGAGGTGACAGTCACAGCATTTCAACATAGAGACCCACTGAAAGATATTTTTTCACTCCATCTGCATTTTCTTGCTTTTTTGAAACATAATTTTATTTTTAGGTATAATTGAGGCAATTTCCATGTCTCAATACCATTAGTAGGGTGGCTGTGATTATTCCTCTCTGTCCAATCTTACGCTCTGATTGTTGGTTTCTTTGTGTTTGAGTGGATTTTCACTCTCTTTTTTCTCTTTCCTCCTCTTCATTGCCTTTCAACATGCCTTTCATGCTCTCTAAAATCACCAGGCCTCTGGATGTCTGCATTTGGATTGCAGGATCACCTTCTACTCTCTGTAGCTCTATCACTGCCTAGCAGAATATAGATTTTTCTTTTGCAAAACACACTATAGGAGGAGAGGTGGAGAAATCAATATTTCATTAGTCAGACCAGAATACAGCAATGTCTGATCTGCAGGTCTAGGACGCCACAGGATTAAGGTTGTAACAAAAGACAATAGCAGCATCAGAAAGGAAGTGGTCAAGGCAGGGACCTGGGACAGCAGGAGTTGCTTTGTTGGCATGACCACAGGCTCCTTGCAGCAGGTGCCTGAACATTTCTCCTCATCCATACTGTGTGCCAGTTTTCATCTGAGCCATGGGAGCAGGCTGGAGCTAGACACAAACTCAAAAACAGCTGTGCTGTCTGCTAGGGTTACTCTTCCTCTTCCTCACCTTGTACCCCAGCTGAAATTGTCATCCACACAGCTTAAACAGTTCATATACATGTTAAGAATGAGAAACTGCCTCTCTGTACTCAGGACAGGACTTTTTATTCCTTTCCTCTTTTTTTTTTCTTTGTTTGAGTACTGGCTGGAGCATTTTTTTTCTTCTGCATTTTTAGGCTCATGTCTGGCACATGGACTTCCATCTATCACCAGCAGGGATGAGGGATGGCCACCTTTACCCATTTTATGTTTTTGTGGTCTTGCTTCCTTCCTCCTCTCCCAGTGCTGTAAAATGGTAGCCTCTGACAAAGAGGGTTGCTGTAAATACGCCTCAACACTAATCAGTTTGGGCAGAATCTTAAATAGCCCGTAAGACCTCACGCTGCCATTTCAACACTGAAGCAGCTCATGGACAAATCAAATGCTCACCAGTCCATCAGTAAAGACAAACACAGTGCAAAAGATCTTTACATTTCTGTTTTGTGCACTTAACAATCCTGTTTTGGCTTTAGTTTTCTAAGCAGTTCTGAGAGATGTTTTTTATTGTCTTGATTTTTTTTTTCTGACAAAATTTCACAGTGGTCTGAAAAGGGTTTTCAGTGCATGCTTGAGGAATTTTCTAGTCTGGTCTGAGAGAGCCATGTGATACAGGCAGAATTTTAACCACTCAGTGCAGAGACGATTCCCAGTTTCATATTACTTTCTAGTAGTTACTATGTACATTACTTTTCTAAAGTATTGGGAGTTTACAACTTACTGATATTCTTTACATACAAAATATTTAAGTTCATGTATGTCATTGAAGAAACCTGTGAAATCTTGCACAAATTAACAGTTTCAGTTAGATCCACAGATTTTAGCCCTTTAATGTGGTGCAAAGGGATGGACAAGGGAATTTGTGGAGTTTTGCCATTGATTTCAAGGGATTTGGACAAAGTCAGTCTCACAGAATCCGTTCCTTTAGCTTTTGATTTTCCTATAAAGGTGTCTTCTCTACTGAAACACACACCTTTCTTTCTTTTATTTAGTTTATGGCCTCAGTACAGCAGGCTCCAGACTGTCATCCAGAAGGACCTGGACTTGCTTGAGAATTGGGACTAGATGGCATTTAAATGTCCCTTCCAATGAAAACTATTCTATGACTCAGTGAGTCAGCTTGAAAACCTGGGTAAACTTAGGCTGAAAATGAAACATTATCTTTACTGAGCAAGAGTAGTGTGTGCATATACATAAATGGATGCCTATATATTTGTATGCATTTCCATATGGATATATGTGGCTGTGTGATACAATTTCCTAGAAGATTGAAGCTACAGTGGAGTTTCTATCTCCTGCCTTATAAAATAAGTAATCAATGCCAATAGTTACACTAGAAGAGTGTATTTTATGCAAGAAAGCCTGACTTTGCATTCCAAACATATTTGTGGCTGTTATTTAAAAAAGAAATAAATCCTTACTCAGTACTACTGCTTATTTTCTATGCTGCATTGGGCTGTGTCTCACTGATCGGGCTGCTTCAGCTTTACTTGTTCTACAAACAGGGTAAGGGCTGCTGCAAGTTAAATGTGCAGTTGGTATCAGGCACATGTAGGAAAAGATGGTCTTTAGCTTTCATTTTACACCCCTAGAGTGAGGATTTCATTTCTACAAGTGAAACCAGTGGTGACATATCTCTTCTGAAGCAGTGCATTAGCATCAGCCTCAACAGGAAATAAAGGAGGACTCCAAATCATACAGAACTTTTTTACTGTTTTGTGAGTAATTTGAGATTGTATCATTTATTCATGAATATGAAACTGGTCCATCACAGGTTTCATTGTGAGCATTGCATAGAGAAATCTTCTTGAAGTTGTGGGAAAGGCTTTAAAAAATAAATGTTATGCATGGCTGTAATTGCTGGTAGGTAATTAACTATTTGGAAATGAATAACCATTATTCAATCAGTGAAATATGGTCTTTGGAGATTTACTTCAGGCTTTGGTCTTCAACACCTCTCTGGCATTTGTTTTTAGTTTATTGAAGCAATCAATCACCAAGAGATTGAGGTAATTTAAAATCAGCTCTGTGTACATTTTAAAGGAGATATGAATCATAATATATATTTAAAACTTAACCAACTTCAAAACTCCAGTGAGCACTATTTAACAGAGCCAATTTAAAAAAACCTGTTTATTAAGGTAAGTAAACTTCTGATGTTGCCGAGAGAAAAGTTTAATTATGCACAGGAAACATGCAACATGGTTTAGTTAGTATTCACTAATCAACCTCTCTTTCTTTTTCACTTGCAGGAAAACATAAACATCAATGAAGCTTCCAGATGCTTGGTGAAACACATAATTGCTAGTGAGAGTGATCCAGTTCAGTCTGTTGAACCAGATATTATAAAACCACACTTGAATTCCTCCAAGATGGTCAGTTGTTCAGCTTGCTTTAAATCCTAAGAGACTTCCAGACTATTGCAAGAGCTGAACAACTACGATTCACAATTTATACTTTATTCAACGAAACCAGCCTGCCCACATTGTCCCTAAACAGATTGTCATTTTCTCAAAAATATATTAAATTTTTCCTTTTTTTTTCCCCAGCTAAAATTTATTATGAGGTGTTCATTGATAACAACTATTCAAAACTCCTTTGGATATTGGTCAAATAAGACTCATGGTGATGGCTATGTTTTCCTATTTGGGTGGCACCAGTGATACCAAGACCTATTTGTTTGCCATGTGGTTTCTGAAAATTCATATTTGTGATGTGACTGCGGCAGCATCCTACTTGTCCATTGATTTCCAGGATGTTTTCTCAATACCTTGACCAGGCAAATGTCATCACTGCACTCTTTGTCACCCCTCAAACTTGAATGATCTTGTTTCATGTGAGGAAGATGATGATGAAAATGAAATTCAAGCTATTCAGAAAGAGACACATAGTGAAAGGACTGAACATGAAGGAACATTTCACATCATTCATTTCTCCAGAAGATCTGAGCTTCTGAGACTGATGAAGAATTGGCTCCCTCTTTCTGAGTTGTTTCAGTCTCATAGTTGGTAGCATCATTTTAGATGAAACAAAATGGAACAAGTCAAGTTGGAGGGGTGACAAAACAGGCAATCAGGGTTACAATCTCCTGGGTGAAACAGATCAGGGTTTTCAGAAAGGGTTCTATAAAGCCATCATTTCCTCTGGAAAGCCCACATTGATTTTTTCCCTGCCTCTCATCCCTCATGCCACAGATATCCCCATGTGTTTAGACTGTGAGAATTCTATAAGTTCTAACATGCATCCCTTCATTATGTTTATGGAAAATTCACTATGCACACTGTAACATAACAGCAGAACTTTTCAGGAATCCATCTGTTGAGTAGAAGGATATTTGCTTTCTGAAAACGTTCTTCTAAAGTGTATATGAATGATCACAGGAAGCAAGCAAAATGAAACAGTCTTAAGACACACTTCTGGAAGATGTGAAGAATTTATTGAGCCATCTGTGGAAATGTAATTGTTGATTTTCAGCATCTCATAAAAAATGCAGGTTGATGGAGTCATTCAGAGAACTGTGTCTAGACAAGTAGTCTTGACATCTGGCTGCAGGTCCTTTCAAGACAAACTTTGCCTCTATCCTGCCATAGACAAATCACTTGCATTTTCTCTTCTTACTCAGACTTTTCCTTCCTAAACTGTGAACTCTCAGTTGCAGAAGCTGTTTTCAGAGATACAGTCCTCTTCTTAGAGGTGTAACAGCATGCAAGGGAGGAGACAAAAATCTCATGATGCCTTATGTTTGCAGATGTCACTGCAATACTTCACTGAACACTTAGTTGGAAATGAAGGAGTGAAATTCTCAGTCTAGTGAATACCTGCTGCATAGGAAAAATGAAAAAAAAATGAAAAAATCCTCAAGCTGACCTTATACTCTGAACATATTTCATGTGCCTGTAAAATTCATCCTACTTGGCAATGTAAGGTTTATGTTTGGACTCAAAGTTCTTTTCCAACCTAAATGATCCTATGTCTTTGTGCCTCTTTCACTAAATGCTCTGTTACTATATAGGCACTGCAAACATGAGTTATGTTTCTCTCCCTGGAGAGCCAGGGACAGAGACATAGCTCTTTATGTGTTCTTCCTAAAGCCTTCGATTTTTCTCACAAAATTTTGGAATAAGAAAGCAAGGTCTCTGTTTTAAAAATAAAAATTCACATCCAGAATTAATCTGCAGAGACATAGATATATGGATACATATATATAATGAGCTGGCTTTTTTGAGAGTAATTTTAAAGTTGTCATGGATGCTGTGTCATCCTGCAATACCTGTGTTAAACATCCTTTAACTCCTGCTGTGATCTGTGTCAAATACCTTAAGCTTCCTGCCTCAGTTTCCTCATCTGTAAAACAGGGATCTATGTACACACCTACCTCACAGCACTCCCTGAAAGTTCCTGTTGGCACCGGGCTTTGGGGATACATGTTCTACAAATGCCAAGCTCTGATACTGCTCAGAATGAAATATGAGTGCCCTCTAGCATAAATACACGGTGCTGTAAAGCCTTAGTGTTCTAAATCTATCAAAGGCTTGCCTGTGCTACAAAAATTAGCCTCAATTATTCCACCTCAGTTAAGCTGGCCAAGGTTATAAAGCAACGTGTGACTGCATGGGATGATCAGATTGGCTGCAGATGGTCTGCAAGCGGAAACTGTGGCTACACAGATGTCATGGTACTAGTTTAATAATCTCAGCAACAAAGCTGCAATTTAGAACTAGTGCCACATCATTTATTTCAAATTTAAAGAGTCATTTAAGTCAAGTCATATGGGTGCCTTATTGAGGATAACAATTCATATCCTGAGCCAACATAGAGGAGAACACAAGGAACTAGATATTTCAGATAGCTTCTAAAGGGCTACATTTTCATGAGTTGAGCCCCGAACTTGACTTATAGATCTGTGAGTGTCAGGTGAAGCAGAGGAAATTCCCATTTCATCCAAAAATACTTTTATGCCCAATTCACAATAAACCTAGCAACTTCTAATGTGCTTTGCTTATCTTCATATTACCTTTATTTGGTGGCTTCTAGCAATACTCACTAAGCATAATGGGAAATTCTACAAGACTTTGAGAGCTATGGCTAAAGATCTGGTATAACAGTAATTAAAATAATCCTGCATAAATAAAACACTTATATGACATATAGATATGTTTTTGTTCTGCACTCTACTGTATAAACCTTTATGCTTTAAAGAATGGGCTCATTGTTCCATAATGTTTCTGTTGTGTCAGGTTCTACTGCAGTCAATTCTTGGGCAGATTTTCCACCTCTGGTAGAGAGAGGACAGAGTGTGGCCAATTGCTAGTCTAAGGACTACACAAGATGTGAGTTCTAAAGTCATACATATTTACACTATGAGAATTAGAACAGTATCACAAAGAATCAGGCCTCCCTAGGAGGTTACATAATTACATATGTTCATTTTTATTTGTACTAAAGTGATAAAGATCTGTCAAGTCTTTTTCTACAACACAATAAATGTGCGAATGCAACCTGAATATCTAGCAAACAGAGCTAGAGGAGGTTGTTGTAGGCAAGCCAGAATAAAAGCTTTAACTTAGAATTAATGAGCTCAGTTTGTGCCAATACTCTTTCAGGAAATGTAAAGTTTAATTATACTGTGTCAGTCTCTAACAGCTTGGATTTCCTTAGGTTTTTTTGATGCACTCTGTGCTGTGTCCTCTTTGCTGGTCACCAAGGACCAGGCATCTTATTCACATGTCCATTTCAAAATTAAACATTTTCCCTTTCTGTTTGCAATACGAAGTGAATGATGAGTCTCTATTGTTTTGCAAATGGGCAAAGGTACTGCAAAGTGGAATTAAAATTAATTTTCATTCTAGTTCTCCAAATACACCCCCTGGGTGTCCCAGTACCTCAAACTACATGTTGATGGACAAGGGAGGTGCTGGACATGAGAGATCACCCCAAAACATTCAAAGAAAACAGTGGTTGAACATCTTCACCCACAGACATCATTTGCAGAACCAGTAATGACAGAATATCTTTCATTTTCCATATTTGAAGCTCCATACAAAAAAAACCCTCATGATCCTAAATACTTTGGGCAGCATATACATATTACAGATAAGAAAATGGAGGAGTGAAAAAGAATTACTCAGTTATTCCAGAAATATCATAATTTATTTGACCAGGTTCAGCTTTCAATAGAAAAGTAAATCTGAAAATCAGGCTTTATTCTTACACACAATTTTTTTTAGATAATGTATTTTCAATAACTTTTCTATTCAGGAATTGCTGTTCCAACAGTACTTTATGTATTCAGCTTGAATTATTGTACATCAATGTTTTCTCTTCAGATTTTTTTTCTATTTTAACCTATCTGACTATATAAAATGGGGAAGGAGGGAGAGAGGGAAGGAGAATGTGCACCTTTAAACAGCAGTGTTGTTTGACTTCTTGAAACAGCTTTTCTAGATGGATGAAATGAAATTGGCAAACAGATGTGAGAAATTAATTTAGAGTCAATTGCCAGGAAACAGTCAATCAAAGTGTCTTTTACTGCACCAATATTTATGCATGTGACCGCAGGTTCTATTGTAATAAAAGATGGTATTTCTGACAAATCATGGAATATGAGTAATTTGTAAAATTCATTCATTAACCAAAGTAGGCACATACAAGTAGCCATAAGCTAATTCACCTTTCCTCATATGTAGCCAATTTATGACATATATATATGTCTATTTTAATAATTTAAACTACTTACTTTCTGTACAACTTCTCTTTTAAACCATCCAGGTTAATATTTGACTTTGGTTAAAGAGTTACATATCTGAGACAGAAAACTTCTGCCTTTTTTCCCTATTTTATATCCAATTCCAGATGCAACTTTTATGACTCCAGCTCTTCAAAGAACCTCCGTTCAAAGTTTGATTTTGCAGGCAGAATTTTCGGCTCACAAAGAGATGCATCATCTTTGCTTGGAGGCTCATTAGTAAACACAGGCTCAATTCTTGGAAGTCTGGCTGGGTGAAAAAATGGCCTAAATATGTAAAATGGGTATCTGCATGCCTAGGATGTAGTAATTTCATTTTTCGTCTGTCAGGACAAGCTGGTACCTGCAGCAGTGTTACTCACTGAACTTTTCATGATTCCTTAGAAATATTAGATTGTTTTATTAATTTAAAAAAAAAAAAGGTGAATGCATGCAATGTGAGCCTAGTATTTATTTTGCAGTTCTCAGCAAAGCAAAAATACAGCATTCTGGTTTCATTGACTTTTTAAACTATGCAACCTGACACCCACACCCCAATCCGGAGGGTGCTACAAGACCCTCAAAAACTCCCCAGGACTTGGTGGCAAAGTTGCAGCTGCACTGACCACATCTCTCAACAAGGAAATATATTTGACTGCACAATTTGGGAATGTTAACTTCCTGAAAATGATCCCCTTCACAGTTGCAGTAGATGCCTAATTAAGATTGGAATCTCAGTGTCCTGTGTTTCGAATGCAGCAGTAATAGTTTACAAAGA